CCCCAAAACCCCAAAACCCCAAAACCCCAAAACCCCAAAACCCCAAAACCCCATCTTTTATAATAAAGATGGAATTATATAAAATATTATTATATTTATTACTCATGTTTGAAATATTTAGAGAGTGGTATTTGCAGTCAGTTTAGTTTACTCCTTTCCAATATCCCTGAGTCTCTATGTGCATCTTCTCCAAGTAGCATTCTTGTACATCTGTGTATGTCTCGCTGTCGAGTTGGGAAAAAAGCACTGCATTCTTAAATTCGTTAAGAGGTAAAGGGCCCATCTCAACATTGTATCACTTTGGGGATTCAAAAGTCTCTGGAGTAATTTTTTGTTTGGAGTGAGGCTCTTGGGTAGCTGCACAAATCTTAAATCCATTCCTAATCTTATGTCCATCAAACTTCATGAAAAGTCTTGGAATGGCAATATCGCAAGGAGGAACAGAATAGCCTGAGTCTGCATACTTAAAAGAGGTGTACTCTGATGGTCTGAACCAGTCAGTATATCCATCAATAGATATTAAAACATTTGCTTCATCTGTGCTATAAAGCTGATTGACAATCTCAGCGATGGCACATGTAGCAAATTCAGGATTCTCAATCCCATAATCTGCAATTTCTAGCAATGTTTTAGGCTCTTTTAGGAAATGAGATATTCTCTCAAGCATTTTAGGAGTATCTTTTGCGATCTGTTTCCTCTCAAGCTCTGTAAGATGCTCTTTCCATGCATCATTCCAAATTCTTTTTCTGGAGTCGTGCTCTCTAAAATTTTGGATTCCTTTATTGCTGGTGTGACAAGTGGCATACTCACTATCATGAACTCCAGTCTTGTCCGTTTTCCCGTAAATACTATGATCAACCTTAATTTTCTCAAATTGGTCCTGATTTGATACTCTAAGATCTTCCAAAAGCTCTTTTGCAAGCTGATCTTGAAGATGAAGGCCGTTAATATGTCTCTCAATTTTGACTCTATTACTAGTGTATTTACTAGCTCTGGGAATATTGATAACAACCCAATTGTTTTCATGAGCCCATGCTGTCACATAAGCCAATGTTCCAGATTTTCCAGAACCTTGCTTTCCCCAAACATAACATCCTGTGTTGAATCCCTTAAAGCTCTGTAGAGAGTTTTCTCTCATATCTTCTGGCCTCCAAAAGTGGAATCAATATTTCTGGTGACCCTGCAGATACATCTTGTATTTCTTACTATCGTGGTTAAGCTCTGAGAACTCAGTTAAATGATCCATGTCAGCCTTGTTGAGGGTGACCTCAAGGATCCTTTTAAGTTCAATTACATCTTTTAGTTCTTTAAGTTCGACTTCTTGAGACTCAAAAAGATCCTCCAACATGTCGGTGAACTCATTCATGATCTTCTTTCGTGTTGGCTGGTAGAGAATAAAATTCCGGACAGGCTTTTTCCTGAGTTCTCTAAGAAGAATACCTATCACCCCATCAAAGATGGAAGGGCTGTCATATACCTTGCTCAGGCCTTGAGGATCTCTCTCTTTCATTACGTCTAGTAGATCTAGGCAGAAATCTTGATAGAGCTGTACGAAGACTACTTCATCTTTAAGGATCTCCTTTAAGTCAGTACTTCTCTTAATTAAGTCTTCATAATCAATCGATCTCTCCTTGGGAAGGGTTCTTCTAGCAAGGTCATAGGTTAGTTTGAGGTTCTCCTCAGTGCACATGATAGCATATTTGCCTGATGGGTTTAATTCGTTATCTCCAAATTCCCCTGGTGATTCCCTAGGGAACATTCTCTTCCAGTGGGCTTCAGGAAATACGGTGTATTTTCCAATAGTATCTAAAGTATGATACCGAAGCCCTTGGCCATCAGAACTGCAGAAAATATTGTTTTGCTCTTTAAGCTCTTTATTGTCAAATTCTCTTTCCTTGCCTTTGAGAGTCTCAAAAGGGTCGAGGGTAGCATTAGAAGCAACAAAATCTGCTTCTTTTTCTTTAATTTCCTCAAAATCGCTCTCTCTGTTAAGATAGTGTTGATAGATCTCTTTTCTATCAGCATGATTACCGAAAGCGTTGACATACTTCTCAAGCAAGCTCTTCTCAACACTCTCTTCAACATTGGGAAGAATTTCCTTTGTGGCCTCATAGAAACTCTCTGTAGCACTTTTGTGCTGCTTAATGTCCTGAATCATTAAACTCTTAATTGCCGCTCTTTTCTCGTGGCTTGGCATCATCCTCAAGAGTTGTTCTGTGACCCCCATTGCGTTAATTATATGGTCTTTTCCTTTGTTAAAAGCTAATCTCATTATTATAAGTTTTTTAGAAATTAATAATAATTATCAATAATTTATAGAGGAGAGGGGTTTTGGGGTTTTGGGGTTTTGGGGTTTTGGGG